TTTTGTACTTAAAGTTTTCTAATTTCCTTATTCTTGTTCATTTCACAACAGTATGAAAATAAACTAGCAGAGGCTGTTTGTTAAGGGTCAGTAATCAATGGATGGTAACGAGGTAGGTCACTGTTCCCCTCAAGTTTAGACTCATTTTGTAATTCTTCGTAAATAATTGGTATATTTCCATACCAATGCTTTGTCTCATTAAGGTTCATAAATACACTAACACTAAAGGAATCTGGTCCTCACTGAAAGAAATGACCTGACTTGGCAACCAATAGAAACTGGAACAATCTGTTGTTGCTTTCATCGATGTGGTTCTTTCACCATCTCTGGAGGTGATTGCTGTTCCTGCTGTTTGCTGCTGCAGTGTCTGGTATTTCTTGGAAAGGTTAATACAGGCCGGTGATGTTTCTCAGACAGGTGTCATGCTGATGCACAGTTCATGTAACTCTCTGTGGATTCATCAGTACTCACTGAACTGTCAATGAGTACGACTCCTCTGACGTTCCTGTCTTACTTTTATAACCTCACGAGGACAGACAACATTTACATCCTCAGTAACGTCAGAGGGAACCTCAGCTGCTCTCTGGCTCACACTGCATCTATGAAGAATCGTGCACTGTAAAAACATTTCTTATAAAAAAATATATTCTGGCAGCTGGGGCACCAAAAAATACTGTAAGATAACAAACATTACTGACTGAATACATTTTTAATTCTATAATTAAAATACAGTTTTTAGCTTTAATGGCTTTTTATTATATATATATATATATATATATATATTGCCTTTTTATTGCCCTTATTTGATAGTGACAACTGAAGATAGACAGGAAAGGGGGTCAGAGAGAGGGGATGACACACAGCAAAGGGCCGCAGGTTGGATTCAAACCCTGGGTCGCTGCAGCAAGGACTCAGCCTCGGTACATGGGTCGCCAGTTCTACCAACTGAGCTAACCGGGCGCCCAATATTTAATTAAAGATATTTACATATCAGGCCTTATAGATGAGTGCTGATATTAGATTTTTCAAATTTTAATCTGAATGTTAAAAGTCAATGAACAAACAAATCGATGTAAAATTACAGAACAAATACTTTAAATGTTTTTGTCTTTGACTTTTTTACTGTTGTTACTAATTTAACATTATTTCAGAAATGTATTAACATTATTAAACTTGAATTCAACAGTTCTAACAAATCTATTAAATAAACAGTAAATATCTGCAAAAAAATTATAGATTTGTAAATGTCTTATCTGGAAAAAAAATCTATTTTCTTTAAATAAGCATGAAAATCCAGAGGCTATTTTTCTATTTTATTAATATTTCCATGTATTAAAACAAAAAATACAGAAAAAAACTCCTGTATGTTTAGTTGTCTTTTGCTGTTCAAGGCATCAATATGTGGAACTCCTCAGCCACAGAACTCAAAATGAGTCATGAATGGGATGATTTCAAACTTAAGATAAAACATTCTTAAAAGAGAGGACACACAAAGTCTTGTATCATGACGGTACTCCTCATTAGGTTTTTATGGTGCTATTTTTTGTGTTTTACCATACCTATGATTATTAAATTTAATTTCCATAGAACTGCCTAAACACTGGACCTTTCTGTCACATTAAAGTGGTTTTATGTCTGAAAAATAGTAGCAAACCCAACAAACTCATGAGAAAACATTTCTATTGGTTCTTGTTTGTAGTCCCATTCCACTTGCCCTGGTGCTTAAAGCTGCCTTATTTATATATTTATTATATATGATTTTGACACCTTGAAGTCAGTGAAACAAGCACAGTAAACAGTGAAAAAAATAAGTGAACACTTTTTTAGCTCCATTCTGGTCTCTAACCAACTCTGAGATAAATGTGTTTTCTATTGTTTTATATGTTTTCCTGTAAAATTGTGTGTATTTACACCACAGCGGGTGGCTACATAGCATTCCTGTTAAAGGTGCAGCGTGTAACATTTAGGAGGCTCTATAGTCAGAAATGGAATATAATATCCATAGGTATGTTTTCATTAGTGTATGATCACCTGGAAATAGGAATGTGTTTTTGTGTAGATGGGGCCATTTGCGTTTTTAGCATGTTCTTCACGGCCACCATAGTTTTTCCTTCACACTTGGAAGGAGAGGGTGAAGCCTTTAACCTTTAAGTAGCCTCACCCTTCTTTCAATAAACACATATATTAAAGCAACAGAAAGACGGCAGTTTTTACAAAACGACAAAGCCCCTTATTCCAAAAACAAATGTTCATTGCTGCAAAGGCCCAATGTAATACGCACTCTGGTATCACCAACTTAACTGATGTAGCCAATGTACAATGGTAACCCAATTGTAAACCTAATCAAACTGAAACCATTTTACAATAGAAACCACATGTTTATTATTATTACCATGACAATGAAGGATAACTGGCTTCATCCATTCCTGCACATCAAAACTCCAGGGAGTGTGTGTATTGTCCTGAAAACCCACTCCTCCAATTTTTTTGATAGCGGGCTGTTGGAACAATGGGAAGTCCCTATGACCCCACCCAACATACCCACCTGACACTCAGCCAGTGAACGCACGCACTGAACATGTGTGTACTCCTCTTTGGAGCTCTCCTGCAGCTGCAGACACAGCAGCTTCTTCTCTCCGTAACTTTTTATGTGACTTTTGTTTGCACTGTAACAGATGCAACTTGAAATATAGCCAAGTACCATACAATAAAAACTACTTAAAACTGCAGTAGGTAACTTTTATGAAAATAACATTTTGTCATATTTTCACCATATCCTGACCGAGTAGAACATTAGACAGACAGGACATGTATATGCATTGCTCAGTACACTCACAGTGACCAGTGGCAGCTGCCCAGTTCCAACCTGTTCCGCTGTCTAACTCATCTGGGTTCTGTGTCTCCCTCCAGAGACACCTTCAGGTTACCGCCGCCCCTGTAAATATTGCATTCCGGGAAAATGTCACGTATGATCTCAAGCTTGCATTTGCCTGAGACCTCCATGACAGCAGTGGCAGATTTCCTGCACAACAGTGAGAGAGAGAACAGCCGTGACACTGCGCTGTAAGCTCGGCCAAGTGGAAAATACTTCTGCTGTCACTCTGTCTGTGTTATTCTTCCCTTTTTCATCTTTTCAGTGTCACAGCAGAGACTTGAGAGATCGTTCCAACAGTTGGTTTCACCCCCTCTGGGATAATCTTTAGTTAACCACTGGTGCTCCTATTTGGCCCTCTTTATTCTGCTATGATATTCACAGGGTTGAAAGGTTTGTGTAGACAGCTGCAGCACCTTGTCCCTACCCCATGTGGCTTTCAGTGATTCTTTACAAATCATGATATACAGCGGCGGTTCTCAGACTTTTTTTCTACTTTGTTAGTTTTGGAGACATGTGACACCCTACCTCACTGTAAAACTACATGTTTTTAAGCCTGTGAAAGTACTGGTCAAATGTTAGAACTGATTACAATTAAAACATCCATGGTGGTTCAGATTATGAGAAGTCACTATTCTATGGTGTGTTGTGGTGTGATTATTATTTACAGCCTTGTCCTGCTTTAGAAAAGTAGTTAAAACAACCAAATAGCTACTAGAACAATGGTGACGTGTCAGGGAGAAGAAAACACTGAATTTGTCAAAAAAAGTTAAATATGTATTAGCTCATTCTAACACATTTACCAGTATGATATATGATACATAAAAATAAAATAAAAAAATAATACAGACAGATAATTCTATAAAAAGTTCTTGTAACTATTAGCAAAACTCATCTCTGATAAATATTCACAGGAAATAATCTGCTAAAAAAACATTTTTAAAATGGCATACTCTATATTCTTATATTCAGGTGATTATACATGAAAGAAAACATACCTGAGAATAATATATTCAATTTCTAACAATATATCCTTCTAAATGTTACACTGGACCTTTTAACATTCCCTATCATGTTATCTATTTTTCTCTTCCTGGCAGAAATGGGCTTCCATAAAAAAAATAATTATAAAAAGGGCATCGAGGCATGTTGAATTGTTTTTTAATTAAAATAAATAAACAGCATGTGTCCTTTCAACAAGTGTGACTATGTACATTTAGAAAGAAATAATAATGCCAACTAGAAAAAAAAAGAGACATTTAAAGCTAAAGGAGAAAGCTGGGTGATTGTTGAGTCTCATTCCCATGATGTCAAATACAGAAGCTTTGGGACCCTGGAGAATCAACAATCATCTATCCTCAAGCCACAGTAAACACAGTAAATATATTGCCACCTGATCATTTTAGACTTAGCAACATTAGCACTGTCTGAATGCTAACCTGAACACTCTGGTTTATTGCTCCATGAGAATTAGATTAATTCAACTTTCTTGGCCTCTATAATGCCTCTACCAGCTACTGATATGAACTCTGGAGCAGTACCAAAATACAATAAGCATACTAGATGCCATTACCAATTATGTACTAAGCTTCGGTGTCTAGCGGTTGTACCACTAAATATTGTTCATGTGCAGAAAAAAGTTGGCTGTTTTTCAAAGCTTTGTTAGATTTTACAAGCAAGACAATGTTCCAGAGAGGTGTTTCAGTTGGCCCTGCTTGATGATTATTGGTGGTTGAATATTTGCATTTGCATATTTAATGTACTTCTAATTCTTGTAATTTACATAATGGCCCTTTGCTATCCATCTGAAGTCACTTAGAGGCAAGGGAGCAAATGGCTCGCTGATCTCTGCCGTTTCGCTGCATAATTTCCCCATTCCCGCTGATGGCCTTGGTTGGCATCAATTGTAATAGGCCGTCTGATTAGTGATTAAAATGTTTACCGGTACATGGGGAAATAGATCCAGGCAATAGGCCACCTCTGAAGCCTGAGCACGCAGCTGGCTTCACATAGACAAATGGCTCGACGGGCTGATGTCTTTTTAACCATGTACTTAGTTGGCAAAACAGTGAATGCTGGGAAGGCAGGGAGAGGGAGTTTACTGATGCATGAAATCATACAAGCCAACGAGATTATAGCTTTCTTTATTACCATTTGTCACAGATGGCTGAATTTACAATTGCACAACAATGTTAGAATCTAGTTGTTGATGTTGATTCTCTGGTCAAAATCAAGGCAGTATTAGTTTATTCCCAGTTCATTACATTAGATTCTTGTTGCTTTGAACGACAACTAGACTTCTTATTCTAAAGGTTGTTTCTGTGGGTTCGATGTTGCACAGCACTGTGGACTAAGTATTAAAATAATACTGAAGAGGACAAGTACCACTTGCTATTGCAAGCTCTGTAGCTCCATATGCAGCTCAGGTGGACTGCTGTCTGGTGACAGGAATCTGGTGTTCCTGTCTTTCACCACCCACAAGGAGAATTTTCCACTTCTGTAATTCAGTAGGTGTTGAACACAAGAAACTAGGTAATCTCTGCCAGCCTGGGGGCCATTTCCAGCCCTCCATCCCCCTCCCTCGGCCCACAACATGGTGTCAAAAACATCTGGCCCACAGGATTATTATTTTGAAATTGTTTCTAGTTGTTTCCTATCAATTCAAAGTTTGGCTGCGAACAACAGAGATAATGTAAAATTATGATATAAAAAAAATATAGATAAACTGCAATTATGTTAGTAATGGAAATATTTTCTGAAAATTGTGCTTTCTTGTAGTACTTGAACGTTGTGGCTCTTTTTTTATGCAAATGTGTGAAATTTACACAAAACAAGACTTCTAAAAGCTGTTTTCCACCAGTTTACGTTTCAGTCTGACTTTGCATTGCCACATGAAATGATCTCTCCTTTCATCCTGATGCCCTTTCTTTGTCATGCACATGCATGCATCAATTAGACACCTGTATATGTGGCCAAGAATTTTTTTTTTTCAAGAGAAATCTAGCTGGGCAAACCAGGTTTCTACCTCTCTCCTATGTGAATAGCGAATGTTCACCTCCTTGCCCAGAGTTAGATAAGACTGTTAAATCCATTTAAAAAAAACTATAAAAAGTGATCTGTAGTGATGTGTTCTGTATAGTTTTAGTGTGTAACCACAACTTTTGCATTTCTGTTTGTGTATGGATTAAACAAATGAGATTCACCCATTAGCAAAAGTGGCTTTTAAAACCTTGAACACAACAGGAGTAGTTAAAAGGAGCGCTTCCTCGGCTCAATTAGATTTTTGTTTGAGGTGTTCTTTGGATTAGTATACATATGGACACAACAATTACAAGAAATTCCTGTCTTTATTGTTACAGAATGATCAAGTTAGACCTAAAAAGCATCAAGCTTTTATCAGGGAGTCGAACTTCTGTAAAGCTGAAATCCATCGGAAATCGAATTTGACCATGCTGTAACAATAAAGGCATTTTTAAAAGTGAATGCCTCCGAGTTTGTATGTGATTTTTTTTACAGCCAAACTAGCAATTTCCTAGTGCTTCCAGTCTTCATGCTAAACTAAGCCTATCACCTGCTGGCTGCAGCTTTATATTTAGCGTACAGACAGAGAGTGGTAACATGTACACACACTAAATGGTTTCATGAAGCTTGAGTGCTAAGCAATTGATCGCACCCTGTGGAATTGACCCTTCCTAAGCCCCGCCCCTTTCCCTCTGTACTCCAATAATAGTTGAGTAAACCTCGGTCAGAACCTCGGTCAACTTCCTCCTGTCCTGTACTTAGATATGCTATGTGCTAGGCTAATCTATGTTGAAAAGACAACCACATTTTGAAGATTGTTAAAAGATAAAAGCGACATATTCCCATCTTAAGATAGCTGTTACCAGAATACTAGCTAACTAGACCGCTAATTTCTAACAATTGTTAGTTGGCTAGTTAGCTTAGCTGTTAGCGTTTTGCTAACACTATCTAGCTAACTCAAACTATGACTATATATAGGAGAAGGTTGACTGGTCTGATCAAACCTTCCTCAACTAATATTGAAGCACAGAGTAGAAGGGGCTGGGGCTTAGGAAGGGTTAACTGGCAACATCAAATAAACCTGCAGACAAACATGTGGCCACTGTGTGATTGTGTTTGACAACTTAGTGCTAAATTACCACGAGAATCTCTAATCATACTAAAGTTACAATGAGTTAAGACTTGATCTGCAGATGCTCCGGATATCCATTTCCAGCTCTATAAAGCTGATTTAGTCTTTCCCTGGAAGCGTTTGACTCGGAAAGGTGAAAGGTCACAGGAGGGCACTTCTCCCAGGCTGAGTTCACACAGAAGCTTGCCAATGATTGGTCCAAACTTAAAGCCGTGACCTAGGGAAGAGAAGGCATAACAGTGAGCAAAGAACGTACATAGGTCATCAAACCGTGTCGGATGAATCAGTGTCCTAATGTGAGCAAATCCATGCCCCGCACCTTGTCGGAGCCCATAAATAGCCTGCATCTCCGGGCCTTTGTCTGAGTCAGGCGATGGGTTTGAGCCCCACATAAGTTAATAGATGAAAGAAGAGAAAAGCTGTTGTGATGCCTGTCGCTGAGCATCTATTCACTTGAGTGATCCAGGACCAAATGCTAAATTAAGAGAGATTTGTCCTTTCTCTGCGTAATGGCTTCATGTGCTCAGGGAGTGAGATGAAAGAGCATCTTTTTTCAGAATGTAGCATCCTTGTTGCTAAGGTCTGAGAGGCAAATTGTGAATGTCAACAGGGCTTGAGGAATGCAACACATTGCCATCTGACAAAGGTCTCCGAGCTCCCGTGGATTCTGCCAGGCTTTGAAGTCATAAAAGCTTGGCTCTGACAGTTTGGCCACGTGGATTTTCATCTCACCAGAGGAGGAGAATGGAAAACCTCAATAGATGGCCAAGCCCACAGGGTGACTTTGTAGCCATGGCAACCCCCCAGTACTTGCTTTAAAGCACTTGTGTTGGGCTTTGATGACAAATGCACGTAGTGAAGGAGGGGGAGGAAGGCAACGCATTTTATTTTCTGTAGTAGGGAGAAGCACTGTGAGCTTCTCCAATATGGCTCTGAGCTTCTTTAGTGCTGCTGCAGAATAAGCACAAACTGTGCACTAAGTAACACTGACTAACTAAGTTGTTCTCTGGAGATTTGAGTCTAATGCAACATTGTGAGACTTAACATAATTCCCATTTTCAGAATTACATTCATCCAAGCTTAATGCCATTATACAACCCTACACTGTGAATGACAATACAATAACCTTGAATAATTACAACAACTACATATCTGAGTGTGTAAGATTTAGTGAAGTTTCAGATTGCAACTAACTTGAATAGCGCTTGACTTTCAAGTGTGTAGGAGAACATGCGATGGCTGCAAAACGTGAAATTCTCTATCTAGAGCCAGTGTTTCGTTTGTCCGTTCTGGGCTACTGTAGAAACATGGCGGTTCATTCATCATATAATGGACACCATGGAAGAGAACCTGCTCCCTGCATTCTTTCTAATGGCCAGCAGGGGGCAGCTCCATGAGCTGCAAAAAGAAGCCCCGTGACATTTAATGCAGGGGCAAATTGACCTTGCATTATTAGCTTGCTGTATGAGTTCAGTAAACAGTTTCCTAATGCACTTATGGTCTCAATCTCTAGTTTCATTCTTCTTCCATACATTATGATGTTAATTTAGTAAATGATCCCATTTAGAGTAAAATAGACAATAAAGCTGGGTAGCCGGCATTTCTTCTATAGAAGAGTCAAAAATAAGCGCAGCCAATGAGCCGTAATGCTGAACTTGAGACTTCAACGCGGTACTCCACAAAGCAATGGATGACATCACAATAGGTTAACACTTGGTCAAGATCTGATGGACCATCTTTACTAAATCATTTCCAGGTGGAAACTGTAATTATGTGGCTTCTAAATCTCAAATTTCTAGCCAAATTGCCATGAAGTTCACAGAGGTTTCCTTTTTGGATTGTCAAAAATGGAAAAGGTTCATTCTCCTGTGCCACCCATCTTTCACACCAAATGCAATAGTGAGGTATAGCATAACACAAGAGCAAAATATACTGGCAGAAAATTGGGGTAGTGCATGCTGCTAAGGCTATAGAGCTGCTGCACCCTCCATTGAACAAAATGCCCTTACTCTGCACAATGTTGCACTTGTGCATTCGGTGCGAAAGCAGGGTCACACAAGCATTTTTAGCCTCGTAAGGCTCTAAGAATAGCAAAAATCATTAGTATATAATTCATTTGTCCAACATTTTTAGACTTTTAGTCCATTCATCTCAGCAAGCTCCACTGAAATCAGAGCATTGTGTCCAGGATATTAATTACAGATATAATTAGGTAAAGGACATGACTGCATGACGAGATGGAAAAGTGCCAAGAGACACTGAAGGTAACCGTAGGAGAGGAGAGGTGGAGCAGAGTCGGCCTTCTGGGTGCCTCCGCCGTGTTAATTAGAGAAGAACATGAGTGTAGACCCAAAGCACAGGCGCTTTCACCTTTCACAATGGACAAGAACATCTCATTAAAAGTTAAGGATCTATAACCTGAGAATACGTGGAAGGTTTGGTGAGTCCAGTTAGACGCTGTGCATATTCTGCTGCTATGAACATTGCAAGCACACAAGGATATCCTCTTCTGCATGTTTTCATTAGCATTTTTTATTTATTTCAGCCTTAAACCATAGATACAAGACAAAATAAGCAAAACAAAACAAAAAAACACTAGATAGCAGTTAGTTAGTTAGTTAGTTAGCAGTCTACAGCCTGAGTCCGACCCAAGTCTCACTCATTAATTCGAATTTGAGGTGCATTAATTATAACCTTAATTTTATATATAATATAAAAACAATCATTCTGTACGAGCCCGACCTGCTGCAGTAGTTTTGGGCCCAACCCAAACACAAATTTTTACTTACAAAAAAAAAAGAAAAATACATTAAATAGTTTATTATAAGTACAGTAAAGTAAACTACATTGTGCATATAATATAGTGCAAATTATTAATAATTAATTTCAGGCCCATGAATTGTTAATTAAATATTACATATATTTAAAAAGATAAATGTATTCTGTCTGTGCCTGACCCAAGCCCGGGTTTGGGTTTCGGGAGTGAATGAAAGCTCTACTGTGAATCCAGTACAGAGATCAGGACAATTTTGGGTCCTGTACTATGAAGCAGGACTTGGGGTTAGCGAAGTAACGTCAGCAGTAACCCTGGGTCCTCAGTCCTACGACGGTGGTTCACCTTCTTACTGAGGTACGTTGCCACAGTAACGGAGCAGGTTATGTTTGAGACAAGAGATCAACTCTACAAAAGCATCACCTACTGACCAATCAATTGTATTGGAAAATGATGTCACCATTGATAGAAGATCCTGTGGAGTGGTGCGTAGGTCGTGAGAGGGTCCCTTAGGAGGGAAAGAGTGTTTAGAGACTGGCAGAGCCCTTTGGCTTTCCTTAATGATGTTTTACAGTTGCAATCAGAAATATTCAACCCCCTCAGCTCAAAAGACATTATAGTGATGTGGACAAACGTTTTCGGTAGGTGCTGACAAGATTCTTACAACTCTCAATCGGAATCTTTGCCCATTTTTCACGTGCAAAAGCCTCTAGCTCAATGATGTTTGATGGCTTCCGTGCTGCAACTGCCTTCTTTAAATCCCACCAAAGATTTTCAATCGGATTTAAATCTGGTGACTGAGAAGGCCACTCCAGGACGTTCCAGGATCTTTTTCTCAACCAAGCTTGGGTTGACTTGGAGGTGTGCTTTGGATCATTGTCTTGCTGGAAAGTCCACTGATCACCAAGGTTTAATTTGTCAACAGAATGCATCACGTTCCTCTTTAAAATGGCCTGGTATTTCTGGGAATCCATGATGCCAGTTACACGATTAAGATTGTCAGTTCCTGCCGCAGAAAAACAGCCCCACATCATTATTGTCCCACCTCCATGCTTGATTGTGGGGATGGTATTTTTCTGGTCATAAGCCTGGCCTTTCACACGCCAGACATACCGCTGGTCCATATGTCCAAACAGTTCCAGTTTGGTTTCATCAGTCCATAGAACTGTCGCCCAAAACTCTGTAGTCTTAGTGAAATTCCTTCTGGCATATTCTAGACTTTTGATGTTCCTTGTGGTCAAGAGTGGAGTGTGTCTTAGAGTCCGGCCATGAACTCCTTGTTTATTCAGTGCATGTCTGATAGTTGCCACTGAAGCACTTGTACCAGCCATCATCAGGTCATCCTGTAGGTGTCCTGCAGTCACACGGGGGTTTCTCTTAGTTGTTCTGACTAGGTTGCTAATGTAATGATGGGCTTTCTTCCACAGCCAGGCAGGTTTGCAGCTGTTCCATAAGTTTTAAACTTTCTTAAAATGCTCCCAATGGTGTCTTTTGGAATATTACATTTTTTGAAAATCTTCTTATACCCAAGGCCCTTCAGGTGTGATGAAATAGTCTCCTCTCTCAGCTTTTGTGGAAGCTCCTTTGTCTTTCTCATGATTGCAGCTCACCTTCAATGCCTTAATGGGTGGGGTTTATAAATGCATCACAGCTGAAGCAAATGAAGGATCATTATAGAGTTCCCAAAGGCTTAATTATGTTTCAACTCCACTTTAGGCCATAAAAACAGTCAGACAGCATTAAAAACAGCTAAATTATATAGGGGTTGAGTAATTGTAACATGGCTATCTTAACAAAATATACTCTTACACACAAATACTACATCATGCATTTTCTGTGTTGATTTTATGTATCACTCAACTCATAAAGAAGTCATCTGAAGCAGAATCTTGCTCTTTGAAAAAAATGTAATTGATAAATCCTTAAAATCTTTGGGGGGTTGAATATTTCTGATTGCAACTGTATATAAGAGATTTAGATTCTGACTTATCATCCTACAACAGACTGAGCACTACAGCCTTCCACTTGTAGTACTTATAAGATATTTTTTGATTGTTAAGATGTTGATTATAAGTGCGTTTCACACCGCAGCTGTTTAAAGAAATTGTATATATTTTTTCTTTTTATTATGACCATATATTTAGGTATTTAATATGAATTTAGGTTGCATTCGTTTCATTACAGACTTATCATGTACCGTCCAACCTTTTGATATTATAAGCCTCTTAATTTACACATCACACAGTCAGCTGTTCTTCCTGCATTTGGCAGCTGCAACTGTGTTGCTTTCAGTCTGGATTATGTGTTTAACTTCTTTGTATTTGTTTGATATTGTAGTTTGCTCTTCATTTGTAAAATATGCCGCTGTGCTGCACTTGTCTTTGGACGACTACAGTTGAAGGTCAGTTGAAGGTTTTTTTTTCATCAAGTATGGCTTACAGTCTGTGCTGACTACATATCGTTAGCCGGGTTTCCATCCAAATGTATCACAAATTTTAACTGAATTTTCAAGGTAATTTGGCAAAAGAAAATGCTTGTTTCCACCCACTATCGTTATGCAAATATTAGGATTTGGTTCACGAGACAAGCTGTAGGTAGCGGCAAATCTCCAGCTGGAAAATCAGAAGTAGTCGCAACAAAATGACAAATAAAAGAGCGCCAGTCTGACCACAAACAGTGAAAAACAATGCAATACGTCTTATGGAGCCATGGGGTCAATGATAGTGCTCACTTTTCAATTCATCTTATCTTATCATTCAAATACACAGATATCTCGAGATTAGAAGCATAGAAGCAGCTGTTTCACAAAACCGTCTGAGCGAGAGCAGGCAAACCTACATCCATTGGGTTGCTGTATTTCTGTACTCTATTACTGCAGACCACTGGCACCTGCTGGTATGGAGAGTTATTACCTCTTGTGCAGGTGCAGAATGTACGTGCTAGTGTTGGCCGTTCGCTGTAGTCGGTGCGGTTTGTTCTTTTTTTTCTGTGTTAACTTGACTTTGAGCAACAGAACAGCAAAGTAGGACCAACTGGAATGAATTAGTGAGTGAAAACAGTAATTGTGTTAAAAAGAGAGTCAATCAGTACAAGAGGTAAACATGGAGGAAGTACTGAGTTTGTATTAACAGCAAACTGCATCAAAAGTGAATTAAAATGGGAGCAGTTTAGAAAACAGGGTCCTATCAAAACTGTATAAAATATAAAACAGGAACAGTTTATAATAAAGACCTCTCTAATTAAAGCCTGTTTCAAATAAATGTCCGACAGCTACTGCTCTCCTTTTCTTTTCCTCTTCCTGCTAGATAAATCCTTCTTACACTGTGATCTTGTTCCTCTGACCCAGCGTGGTCACACACCCGTACCTCTGGAGCTTTTTATGTCTGTGCTCCACATGCACACACACACAGAGCTCGTCACACACTCTCCTCTGGGCAGCTTGGCTCCGTGCTCTTTCTGGGTGAGGAGGGAACAAGTGATGCTGATTCATTTGGCTGCTGCTTCTGCTGCTTTTGTGCTGGCACTCATCAACACACATCTGGTGTACAAGGTGCCAGATACACTACTCTCTGCTCTTTGTCTTGTCGAGCTGTTGACATTTTCATTCCGACATCGACATTTTCTACTTGACTCCGTCGACTTCAAAACACAGACACTGTTTGTGGTGTTGTTTTCTTTTTAAAGACTATCTTCCTGGCATTTTGCCCTTTTAATAAATGATTGTGAAGATAAGAGTGGCACACAGCACGTGTCAACAGTCCTTGAGTAGATGTGAACACAGAAATGCTTGTTTCTCTCATTTCTCTGATTCCTATGTGGGCCCACCACATTATTGTTTGCATTGCTTCCTATTGAAGTCAATCTGGAGCTATCTAAACACATCTTGAACTGTACTGTAGCTACTGTATTTTGTTTATTCCTCCCTTTTTATATGAACCCATATAACCACTGTGATGTATTAAAGGTGCAGTAAGTGAAATATTTGCCTTGTTGATCGGTCTTTTGGCAAATAAGATGATAATAGGGCAGATTATCTGTTGTAAATTTTGTCAAATTCTTGTGTTGGTTATTTCAAACTCAGATATTGCAGTAATAATTACCTCTGTTTTCCAGCACTGGTACAAATTGCACACAAATACCGATTTTGGATGAGAAGAGAAATAGACTGAGCTGCAACAAGCTAAGGCAGAGATGCTCAGCTTTTTAGATTTCCCTGGTACAGGAAGGCGAATTGGCCAAATTGTTATTTTAAACATCGGCCGAGGGTTTTCCATTTGGTGCATCTCTTGGTGCTTTATATGTATCTTTAATGGATCAGATCGTTGGCAATGCATTGAGATGTGTTTTGCTTTGGCCTCATTGATGGAGAGGCACATCCTATCCTTACCTGTTCTAGATCTGCGTGTTATGCCTCAGTACAGCCTCACAGAGCTGCCAGCGTGGCTGTAGACTTTGCCTGGCGTAAATGTACAGCTCTGATGCGGCAGGCAGCCATGACATAATTGTTCTGAATGACTTCTCACAGCTGGAAGGCTGCTGGTGTCAGCTGTTACTAGGCTACAGCTTTTACTATATATAATAGTTTAAGGAGTAAAGGGTCCGTGTATGTTTTGGTCATTGGATTTTCCTTTCAGAAACGGGTATTAAAAGACAGAAAACGAGTGGTTATTTGATTTTTGTTTTAAAATACAAAAATTAAAATTGAAATACAAGGCGTTTTTCTTTTTCATGGTCAGAAAAAATATTCGATTTTCATTTTCTATTTCATATAACAAAAAATAAAATCACTAGAAAACAGAAATGGAAAAAAGACGTTTTTTTTTTTATATGAAATAGAAAATGAAAATCGAATAATTTTTAAAATTTCGCTCATCCCTTTCTGACCATGAAAAAGAAAAACACCTTGTATTTCAATTTTAATTTTTGTATTTTAAAACGAAAATCAAATAACCACTCGTTTTCTATTTTTTAATACCTGTTTCTGAAAGGAAAATCCAATGACCAAAACATACACGGACCGTAAAGGAACCTTAATTCCAACGCTGGCAAAGATTGCTTCAGCATTCCTACTTATAAACAGCAGTCATGTTTTGTTAGTTGGCAAGTGGCTATGGTAAACATGGGATCACACAGATCATCCCTTGTATAGATTTTGTTTGAATTGGTTTGAGTTGTTTTGTGTTATTACCTGAGAATCCGGCTCCAATCACAATGTTGCTGTAGTTGGGGTGGCAATCCAGCACAAAGTGACGGTCAGGCGTTAGCTGAGAAAACAAAGTCCAAAATGAAAATGAGAGGGTCCAGGTTGCTAGGCTCGTCTATGTTGAAAAGATAACCACATTTTGAAGTTGGTTTAAAGATAAAAGCGACTTATACAGAAGACGTAACCATGGCTTTTCCTGACTAAATCTTTATACTGTATATGAGGGGAAATTGCTGACTGTAAGGCAGGTGCCATCAATCAAAGTTAATTTTAGATCATAACACAAGTTACCAATGGGCTTCTTAGAACCCGCGCAAACAAAGCCTATTATGCCTTTCATGAATCGAATGTAGGCACATCGTCAGAAATGATCTTAAGACTTAGTTCAAGTATAAATCTAAGAACATTTATACAAGTTTGGAACTACAGAACTGAGTTAGGATCTCACAGATATGGATCTGGACCCAATGCTCGTGTCCTATAAACGCAATGAAGCTTGTGCAGTAGAGCTACAACAATCACTTTATTAATCATCAATTAATTGGTTTCAGTAATTTTTTCAGCAAAACATTTACAAATTATCTAATTCCAGCTTCTCATGTGTGAATATTTTCTGCTTTTTTTAGTCCTCTATGACAGTAAACTGAATATCTTTAGGTTGTGGCCAAAACAGACATTTAAGGACATCACCTTTTGGCTCTCGGAAAGAATTATCAACATTTTATGGACCAAACAACTAATTGCTTAATCGAGAAATGATTGAGAAATTAATCGACAGTGAAACAAATTGTTAGCTGTAGCCCTAACATTTAGTCAAGAGTGCTGCCGCCTTCGTTCTCCAGCCTCTTCATTCCACTATATGGAGACATGAATAGGGAGATTGACCTGGGAACCTTTTGACAAAGACGCACACTTCGTCTCCAGACATGTGGCCTTTGCAGCCGTTCCTGTCAAAGTCTTTGTGGAAAATGTGTTTAAAATGTGTTTAACTGGAGGAAAGGGTCTATCGTGGAACACATAATGACCTCTGTCAAAAAGCACAGCTGTGGAGACGCATGTAATTTAACTCTCTGTCCTCTTTTAAGAACCACTGCTAGTGGAACAAAACACTTGCTGTTAAGTGAGAAGAGCGTGACTGTCAGGATTTTCAGGGGCATTGGACAAGGTCACAGAAATTATGTTTTCCTACAGCTTCAGTATGTGATCGTGGTTAAAGCAGCTTGCTGTGTTGCTGGAGGGCACAGCCCCCCCACCCCTCTAACACACACAGACATACACAGTTCAGCATAGCCTAAACAGAATCGAACACCTAAGAATGGCTTTGGAGAGTAACATCCGGCAGTAAATGAAATACAGACAGCCAGCAGCTTATACACTTTATATATACAGTTTAACCGCACAATAATAAACTTGAACACATAATTAACTCACAGTCCTGTTACTGGCTGCTTCAGACCATGTTGGACAGGAATGTCAACAATCATCTAGCTATTGTTAGTCTTAGCAGAAGTAAGGTTAAAACTGCAAGAGAAGATCAAATGTCATTGCAATCTGCCCATAATATTTTAATATTTCTTTCTTTATTTCTTTAAAATGTATTATCATTTTTCAAGATATATATATCCCATATTTTTTTTAATAACACTTGATAGGGTACAATTCAATACCGTAGATAAGCAACTGTTAATTTTCATATCACGGTACACTATGATGTTGGTATTCCGCTGCAACCGCAAACATAACTATTGAAAAATTACAAATCAATATATATTTATACAAATCATTTGGTAATGTGTGAGGGTTGAGTGTGATAGAGGCAGTGTAGTTTTGGATAAAGCAGAGATTTATTATTGTTAAACTTGTCATAAGCTGTTTCTGATATTAGAGAAGTTTAAAAAGGAATAACAAATCTCTTATTATCTCTAGAGTGAAAAGGGAGCACTTGTGTTATTTTCATACAAAAAACTAAGAAAAAAATAAAATTTGTCAATATCAAGTTGCTATATCGTAAATATAGCAACTTTTCAAGTCAAAATATCTTCCATTTTTGAAACATTGCTTCTGTCAATAGCTTTTAAATTAATATAGCAACCTCTGATCAACCCATGTTAGTTTCAGGATTAAATGAACAACTGGTAAGCCCATTTTGTTCTGATATTTCCTGATGACCCACTGGTATAATCAGATCTCTTCACCTTCTGAAGCTTATATCTCAACATGGATGGATTAGGATGATTATTATGAACACTGTAATGCGGGGTATTGATACGGACCGTGTACATGCAGCTCTCCACCACAGCAGGTTCAGGGATCAGGCCAGGTAAACAGCGGGCGACATAGCGCTGAAGGATGTCGATATCGGACCGGTCTGTCTGCTTGTCTCTCTGGTCTGGGTCTGTCTCACTGCCCATGTGGTAACATATCTGCACACAGAATGGCACTGTTGATATTATGTCTATATGGAACATCGAATGCTTGGCAGCCGTGCAGGAGAGCTTTGATTAGGCCTATAAAAACCTGAACCAGACATGATTCGGTCCGAGTCTGAACCACAGAAACTGTTTTGGATCCTGAACCTAAATTTCCACTCAAAATAATTAAGTAAAGAAAATTATTACTTAATTAATTACAAGCTGAAGTAAAACTAATACATAACATTCACTCATTAATTAGAGGTGCATGCATTATTAATAAAGTATTAAGTATATATTTCGGAGCCTTACCCGATCCCGACCTGCGGCAGTCCAATCGGATTCGGGCAGAGAAAAAAGCTCTACCCTGCATACATAGCATAGCATAGTATAACACCATCCAGCTCTTACTCAATTTAGAAAGGTGTATTTATTTCATATCTATCGTTTATCTGCTGGTATTGTTTGTTTTCAGTGTCAAGAACACAAATCAGATGCAGACACATGGCACACATACAGTACAAGCCAAAGAAATACAGAAAGAAATGCATCCAAAACAACAAAACATGAAATTAAACAATACAAGTGAGCTAGAAAAACAATTAAACAGAACAAATACTTCTGATTCATTGATTTAAAATGATTGAATTGTAAAATATGAATATAAGATTTTTTTATTACTCAGAATGAGCTGAACACTGGCTCTAAATAGAACCTCTTTCATGAGCTGTATTCAACTGCTGGCAATCGACAACTTTACCCCTAGATGCCACTAAATTCTACACACTGACTTGAAATAAATCCAAACATATCATTTAACTATTTCAGCTGTCAGAATTTAGTCTTTTCTAGAGAAACTGATTTGTGGCCTTTTTTTTCGTAATTACTTACCAAATGCAAAAACACAGGCAGTAGAGTAGAGTCCCATAGCTCTGTTTATGCAGCACTGAATGTGGTTATTTAGAAATGAATCTAGTAATGTTTCATGTAAAGCTAAGTAATAAGGCAGAAAATTACATGTTTCACATGTTTCCTATTGCCAGCTTGAGAGGTAAATGACAAAAGGGGGAGTGACTGTCAAACACACACTTCAAACTTCCAAAGCTGCTTGTGTGTGCTGCTGCTGTCAGCCAGGTCTGACACATACAGTGTCACCCAGAGACTAAAGGCACAGCGAGGAGGCTGAGGGATTAGAAGAACCGTTTTTATGTTTTTCTGCAAGATTTTCTGCTGTAGGAAACTTTCTGACAGGTCCATGCAGTAAAAAAACACATCCAAACACAAGTGTAAAAAGAGTAATTACAATATTCCTCTCTGGTTTGAGTTTTTTTTTCTAACTATGTTAAATGGTCCAAACATTGGACATACAGTAGCTCTGGTGACTGTGTATCAGAGTGAATAATGCGACGTGGCATCACCATCTGTCCCCCCCTCTCTTCTATGCATGTGGTCTGCTATTAGGCTGCGAGCTCCTGCTGGCCCACCATAATGCCCGAAATAGAGATGTGCCATCGGATGACATCAGACCCGGCACAACTCCCACAACTAATCTGATGTTGAGGTAAGACAAATCACATTTAACAGTTGACTTTGCAGCAGTGTTTGTGTTTCAAAGAGAACAGCAATTGTTCCACTGTGGCAATGTGGTTCTCATTAGCAACACTGCAGTCAAATGTTTCTCTGTTTTTTACTGAGCAGTTTGAAATGAATGTATTATGAGTGTGAGGGTTATCTGTGTACATATTTTTAACAATACATTATCATTAACTGTACAAAATCTAGATAAAAAATGTTAAAGATCGCCTCCACACATACATACAAATAGTCTGCTTCGAACAATAATGTGTGTATGATGTTTTCTGTAAAAAAATACACATTAAAATTCTTTAAAAGGAATTTCCTTCTGCCTCATTAAAGCTTCCAGATTCTCTGAATATACAAATGTTGTTCATTTCTAATGTTTTCCTGCTGGTCTCCTACTTCACTGTAAAGTCCATTCTCAGTGGATGTGCACTGGTGGCTTCAGGTTTCTACATCACACTGTACAAGTTGATACTGGACCAGTGCCCTTAAAATATATTACATATACAGTGCCTTTAAGAAGAATTTCCCTGCTTGCCTTTTTTGACCCTGATCAACTGATAAACAGAAAAAGACCCTTAATGATCTAAAATGATCTAAATTAATTGCAACTAAAATATAAGGAAATAAAGCCACTTGAGAGAAGAAATTTTCCAGCAAGACAATGAGCACAAGCATAAAGCACAGGAACGGCTTCAAAACAACAGTGTTACCGTTCTGGAGTGGCAGAGTGAAGTGAATCCAATTGTACTTTTGAGCTGGACTTGAAAAAGGCTGTTCGCTCACAATCTCAACACAACCTGACAGAGCCTGAACGGCTCTGTAAAGAAGAATTGCAGCAAAGCTGACAGAGGTTTATCTGTGCAGACTCAAGCCTGTGATTGCTGCATCTACTGGCTTGGCGGGAGTGAATATTTGTAGTGTTTAGTATTTTATACTTGTAAATAATTGACATCACTTTGTATAGATCTGTTCTCACTTTGATCAAAAGAAAAATACCCTTTAACGTGTCAAAGACACATTAAATCTACTTTGATTCAGTGTGGTGAAAACATTAAAACATGAAAACTTCCAAGGAGGTGAATATTTTTATAGACAATGTAGTAAAAGGCAAATTTGTCCACTCCTATCCGAGCTGTGAATTTTTTAGATTCTGGTTGAAGGATTTAATTCTCCACAGTTGCTGAGGTTTTAAAAGGCACATACTATTTATTTATTAATTTCAGTGCTGTTCTGAGCATGTGTGTAATTTTCCCTCCCTGCCCAGTTATTATATTATAGCCCCAAATAACAATCGGTTGGTCTACCAACATTTGAAGTCCAATAGGTGGAGAAATGTGCTGTCTGTTACAACCCTCATCCTATAAATTTGTACTAAACCACACACACACACACACACACACACACACACCCACACACACACACACACACACACACATAGAAGGTACTGCAGAATAATTAGCAGGATAAGATCACAGGGTTTTGGAGTAAAGGCTATTTTGCAAACACCAGAGCCTCAGAACGTTTTCAGTAAACTTTTTCGTTACTTGACAAACTGACTGAAACTGAATTTGACATTGGTACAAGATAAAATTTCATAAAATGATCTAATAATTACAAAGTAATTTTGTCATAATTACTACGATGTTGATCCCTTAATAGTATGCAGTTTTCTGATAATTATGAGAAGTGCAATATGCTTTTTTAAATTATAATTTTTAATATAATTGTATATATTTTCTATTGATATATTTAATAATATAGTGAGCCTGTGATTTTGTCAGCAACCAGTGTACATTGGATTTTCATGAATCAGCTGCTTTTACTTGTGGTGGATGTGTGCATTAATAAGGACCTGTCTGTAGAGTTTAGTTTTAAAAAATATATAAATCATCTTTTGATTGTGGACCATTTGGTAATGGTAAATGGTACATTGACTGTATTTTGTATAGTGCCTTTCTGTCTTTCACCTACTCAGCTTTTACACTACATGCCACAATGGCCCTTTCATTCACATTCACACACCTCTGAGCCACAGCTGCTCCTTTCAGCCCATGCTCTCGTTTCCCCTCTCATACCACTTAGCTGACCCAAGTGGATCCCAGATAAGATGCCCATTTTGGGCCCATACCCCACTTGGTACCACTGTAGCCCAGCGTAACTTAGACCACATACACATGTTGGCTGGGAGTTAGCAAACTGACTAAGTAAGTTGTCAGTTACATAACAATACCTAGGAAACAGTAGCTAGCTTTGGCACTACACTATCTACATATAACTGGTCATATCCTAACTGTAACAACAAACTCCCTGAATGTGGTGAATCGAGAATTTTGTATTGCTTAGAATTAAACTCAACTTTTTATATTGTGCTATTGTTTTAATCAAATGCTACATAGGGTCTTTTTTTAAGTATATAAAAATTTATTCCTACATTTGAAATATGTTACTGTGGCTAAAACAATTTTACTAACCAGCATTAGTAAAATTGTTTTATGGTTACAACACATGCTTTGGCATTCTATAATAAGTCACATCATTAGATAAGCAGTGCTCCAGTGTGTGCGTGTACCTTCATTTGATAAAAAGCTGTGTTTGCTTCAGTGCACACACAGCACTGGTTTAGCTACTAATGTTGAATAATGAAGCCAGATGATCAACTATAAAATCAGATGAAATCAGATTAAAAATGAATGATCATTAATAAACTCTACTTTATGTTGTTACCATTAATATTTGAGGAGTCTGTACAAGAGTTTCTCTCCTGTAAAGTCACACTGGAGGGTCCAGTGCTGCGACGTACCTTCACCAGGCCTGGGTACTCATTGGATGGGAGACCGTAGATATGCTCTTTAGACTCCTCACCCTCAGTCAGCAAGAAGCAGGGAAAGCGCTGCTTCACATTGTATGATCCCGGAACCTTCTCTTTCCAGTAGCATACGTTGATCTTCACCACCTATAGCAGTGAAACCAGAAAAACTATTAGTACCAGACAAGTCCTCAGCAATCTGGCTGGTTGGCCTAATGATCAAGTATACTGTATACCGTGCATTAGCTTTGAAATGACAAAAATCCTTGATTTATCAGAGGGATTCCCAAGCAGCATCCCTAAGAGCCGTAGCGTAGGCATGCAAAGAAACTATTTCAAAATGTACATAAAAATTCAACTAATATGGAAAATCACAATACAACTTTCTACCCAGATGGAAATTAAAACAACCTGCTGTGCACACATTTCTTTTTTACTATTGTACTAATTTCATTTTCGTCAGAGCCATACCAGCTGCACTAAAAACTTAAAAATTTGTCCTGAGGGTAGCATTACATGAAAGGCGGTGGGACCAATGGGAACAATTTATCACCATTTGACAACTGGCAATTTGCCTGTTTTGATGGCCTGTGTACACTCTTGACAGTTTAGCCTGATTGTGGTGCAAGAGAGAGGCTACAGAGTCCATCCTCTGACCAGCATTAATGTGTTGTCCCCAGTAAACTTCATTCCGATCTGCTTATTCATTGAGATCTTTGTGGTGCAAGAGGGAAGGTAACACACCACAAAGCATTGGGGGCCTTGAATATCCACATACGATTTGATGGAAATGTGATCATATGCCTTTTGGCCTGATGGTGGCACTAGAGGAGAGATAAGGGGCTCATTAAAAGCCCAGGAATTGGTTTTTTTTTGGTTATATAAATGTCATAGCAATCTTGGTAGTAGTTGCTGTGTGTGGGTTACCTCAGATATGATAGATATTATTGTACAGCTGATGAATACTACACTTGGTATCAGCAATAAAACCCCATATTGGTTAAAATACAAACATACCTAACACCGTCTCCTCCATCCTCCTCATCATCTAATACGTAGAAGTGCAGTTACAAAAGTAGCTCCACGGCGGTGAAGTGAGAATTAGGATTTAATGAAATGTACACATGGTTGTACAAATGACGTCCATCTGAGGGTGGGAATAATAAGGACACATTGTTCAGGAGCTTTCACTGTAATGAACTAACCGGCCGTGCACTCATTCCCAGGGACCATAAAAATTCAGACTCTGGTGAGTGAACGAGCTCAGAGCCTGGGCTTTTCTACCAGCTCACTCAGGCATGGCGTTCCCCCGGCCGCCCCCTCCCAGCCTACTGCTTCAATAATGCAATTCCAATATCAACTCCAATTCTCCACTCTAACAGCTGTCTGCTTGTTTTCCCATCACCTTCTCTTTTCAGGCTGTGTGGCATATTGTGAGATGGAAAAGACTGCCTTGCTGACTAAGGCCTCTGAGCTGTTTTAAACATAGAGGAGTGATGCTTTTGTTTCTGTGGCATCTTCAGATAGGCATTAAAGGACCAGTGCATAAGATTTAGTGGCATCTAGTGGTGTCGATTGCAACTCACTCGTTTTACCTTCCCCTCCCAAGCGCCAAGGAGAAACTATAGTAGCCACAAAACGATTGTTTGAGACCATTGTTTGTCCCTTTTGGGCTGCTGGTGGTTCAACATGGCGGACTCCTTATGAAGCTATAAACAGCTCATTCTAAGGTCACAAAAACACAACGATTCCTATATTCAGGTGATTAAACACTAATGAAAACATACCTAGGAATATTATATTCCATTTCTGTCAATAGATCCTCCTAAATGTTACACACTGGACCTTTTTAAAAGGTAGGCAGGGCAACATCCCAGTGGTGAAAAGAGGGAGGAACTGGATTAGAAATGGACAAATTGAAGTCGTAAGACGTGTCTGATAACGTACGGTGCAGGGTCAGATTCTACTGTGTATCTGGGGGCTGTAAACAATGCACAGAGTAACAAAACCCATGCATACACCTCCCACACATAAACTGGTATTTATAAAAACAGATTGCACACACAGAGCAGGCCGAATGTGATATAATGAAGTGGAAATAAAACATGTGAGGGACAGAATCTAGTTATAAAACAATGTTCATTTAGGGTTGTGAGCCAATTTCACTTACTTATGGTTATACAGGGATCTATAATTTGATGAAATGGTGCCTCTATATTTTATTTCCCTGTTTATACTCTTGTAATTTCATCCTTTATTGTGGAATACTTTGTAAAGTCTGTTTCAATATAAGTGCTATAAACTAAATTACATCTGATGATCATTATTTAAATATTACTGATGGTTAAAAAACTCATGTTGGATTATGGGTCATGCGTAATAAATAGTGCTTTAGCTTGTTGGTCACCTCTCCTTAGCCATTCTTTCCATTGAGAGGTTGACTATGCAAACAGATGTTCTCATGTTACAGCTGGTAAAAGTGAAACTCATTGTAATGACTTTATACTGCTGGGTAGCTTAACTTAATAATACGTCATCAACTGCAACTAAAATTTTCATTTTTATTGCAAATGTATCTTGCATTCAAATATCGGTTTCCTTGATTACTATTAATCTGTAGCTGTAGCAACCTTGAAAAAAAACTGAAATATTATTACTTAAATATATTAGGAATTGGTGACACTACTAGTTACTACTGCAATATTTTTATTATTAATAATATTATACAGCACTGCAGAACGCACTCTAGTTTTGCTACTATTGAAACCTTTTGCCATGCTAGTCAGGGTAAGTATGGTACCCGGTCTGGACATTTAGGTTGCATTACAGAGAAAAACATGTGTCTAGTTGATTATACTGTGGAGATCACATCACAGGGTGTAGAGCAAGTGTTAGCAACATTCAGTTAACCCCTAAAGTACAGTACTGCATATATACACAGCTATATGAACATTACTGTGCAGAATTCAAATACCTCTAGTGGCAGCTGTAAGCCAGTGTGTGCCAGCAGTTTGTTAGCCCAGGCTCCAGCGGTGATCACCACACTCTTGGCTCGATAAACACCAGCAGAGGTTGACACCGTCACAACAGGGCCAGGCTTGATGTCCGTCACCACCTCTTTGTCTCTTATGGCCCCACCCAACTTCTGAAACTGCCCCTGGGGAAAAAAAATGACAGAATGAATGAAAATCCTCTGTAAACCTATTTGTAATTAAGTGCTTTTAAATGAATGATATTGATTGATCAGTAATGGCTTTTAAAAGGGCTTGCCCACCGTAATTACCATATTTATTTAAAGAATGCAATTAGAACATAGAAAACCAATGAATAAAAAGAAAAATACAAATATCCTGAAGTTAAATTGGTACTATTATCTAAAACACTGTCTTCTTCTTCCACTTGTTTTCACATTATTAATTGATCATCTCACCAAAATAAGGGTTCAAAATCCAAATGTTACAGGTGTCAGTATTGATAAACAAATTGCAGTATGATTTATTTACCCAAACATTAAAAAACTGTACACTCTGTGATAACCTGTTTTAGAATCTTTGGATGTTTCAGGCCTGTTGCACATGAGTTACTGAACGTGACAACAAATACTATGACATAATAGAACAACTGCAGTAAATTGATTAATTCTGACGTAGACATCAATGGTAGAAATGAACTAGAATGAAGTTCTTATTTTTTATTCTTGGATCAATTATTCTGCCTAATCATATTAATACAATCAGTAGTATAGTACAGTCTGTTACAGAGAGACACACAAAACATGCTCCTACTATAACTGTAGATTTCTAAAAGTCAAGTATACAATAAAGACCTGTTTTTGTAATTAGGGTAGAGGATTAGAGATTGATTTATCCTGGAGAGAGACAGTTTCTTGGCCATGTACATGCATTCATATATCTTCTTTCTAATCAGCTTAACATGTAAGTCTCTGCATGACAGTGCCTTCAGACTGGTTTGTGTTGCTGTGACAGCAGTGATGAAAAGAGATTGTTACACATAGCGATACATACAAACTGAAAATAGTTTAATTTACAGTCTAAAACTGACACTAAGTTGCCTCTGTGAGTCAAAATAATTTGGTTTCCACAGCTGATCATTTGACTACTCTCGTTGTAAAGTCTGAGTTAGAGTTTGTAAGAGCATGAGTATAAACGCAACGAGGCTGTAATGGTGTTTAAATGTCACTGACAACCTCTGTAGTCTCATTTAGCCACTTGTTAGAAACTGTCTTTTTGAAGAATGTAAAAGCTTCAACATTCACATGTGGGGTATTTTGGGGTATCACTGCAGACTTGTAGGGCTGTATATTGGCAAGAATCTGACAATACGAATCACGATACTGGGGTTACAATTCAATATATCGCAATACTGCAAGCAAGGCAATATGTTATAATAATTATAGAAAAACTGTATAAAAGAGAAGTATAAAAGAACACACCACCATATGCATAAAATCTGAGTTTAAAAAAGTTTACTTTTTTTATGTAACCAGAGTAGTGGGATCTCCATTTGGATTTATTACAGTCGCTGTAACATCCGTCATCATAGCCCTCAGTTTACAACACTGCTGTCTTGCAGTTGGGGATTTAAACACAAAAATCAATAGTGTTTTTGAGAATCGATGCAATATTTTTAGACATTTTCTTACAGCCCTAATGACTCCAAGAATGTTCGGGTGTGGTCATCAATCTGTTTGGGAACAGGCCTGAGCTGCCCCTGCATTCAGTCATGAAGAAAAATCAGCAGTTTGTTTTCAAAAGGAGAGAAAAAGAAGACATTCAGAAATGTGCCACTCTGAGATAATGTGACAAGACAGATCACTTGCGACATATATATTAAGATATAATATTAAAGGCAAGAGGCTATTAAAGAGCCATGGCATGAAAATGCTCAAAGCGATAACCTACCGATCTATTACACATCTGTCACAACAAGCTTTAATTCATAATTGACTGCTGCTTCATGGAAAAGCGGCTGAACAATCTGTTCGGTCAATTGAAAATGGCACCTCACTGAAATAACAAAGCAGTGTTTTGTGCTTGACCTGGCAGCCATGGATGAGTCTGTTCTCCTCCAGTGCTTTTTTCTCAGTGCTGACAGAGTCCAGTAATGTGAATTTATTGCTGAAAGATATTCCTTGTGTGAGCTATTATTAGATTAAAACAACGGGCATGATATATGTTCAATTATCCACATCTTGGTATTCTTCAGGCCAATTCTCTATCTAGGTCGTATACGAATCAGAAAATGTTTTGCTTCTTTAATCTCTCATCACTTCAACGTGTTCTCTAAGGTTTTTTTCACAGAGGACCATTGCCTATAGTTCAGTCAAATGCTACATTTTGTATGTTGCAGATTTCTTTAATTAAAACACCGCTTTCTGCCCTGTACCCTGGAGCAGACATGAAGGGCAATTTATGTTTTATTGAAAACACTTTTATAGTAATAGGAAATAGGAAACTTGCTAATTTGCTATTGATGTGTTAAATAATGGAAAAGTAAATTCCTACAGAATGCAGCTGAAAAGGCCATGCCTGTTAGTATGTGAGGGAGGCAGACACTGGCTTTCATATTTATCAAGGAGAGCAAGACCTTGAAATCTCTGAAAAACTTAGGATGCAGATCATTTGAGCTATACGAACTTCATGCACCTCAGTGATTAGTCTTAATTAGACTTCAGTCGCAGCAATGCATAAAGTCATACATAGGCAATTTAAAGAAAAACTACACCTTATTACAACTTGGATTTTATTTTTACCTGCAGAACAAAAAGCATATTCAGCAGGGTGGTAGCTCTGTCCATCAGCTCTGTCAGTTACCACAGTGACATTACGGAAAAATGTCTCACACGACAAGAAACACGAGCAGTCAGACGTTTAGACAGGCTGAAAACAAGATCTAAACTTTGAAGACCTGAACATGAGCTATATTCATAGATCCTTCACTCTCTGATAAACAGCCTCGTCCTGCATAAGAAAAGTTCAAACAAGAGTTAACTTGTTAACAGACAAAGAATTGTATAAAAAGTTATATTAAATATTAGGAAATTAAATATTAGGAAAACTAATTTCTGATCAATATTCACAGGAAATAATGTGCTCAAAGTTCAACCAAATCTCTGGTTTTACACAAACTTCCTGCAGTTATTGGGTTTTTTCATTTGCTCAGCATCTCTGTAAAACATCTCCAGGTACAGCACCTGTTGACATGTATGCTTAGTACAAGCATTTTTGTCTAAAGGTATGTTAAGAAGAACATTTGTACCCTGCATAATTCCCATAAATTTGACCACTGAATTGAATATGATGCATTGACTGTACATATGTTAACCATAGCTACTTTCAAAATTCATGATGATGTGCCTTTGTCTCAACTTGCATTGACCTGGGCAGTCCATATCATCTCCAAAGTGGATCACTTGATTGGCTTTGACTCATGACATCAGTTCCTGAAGCTAACTCACCTAATGCTCTGTGCCGTACCTGTACAGTCTTGAGTGCGCGGTCAGCATACAAAACTCCAGCAGTTATGTCCACCAATGCTCCATCTCCCATAGCCAGGTTGACATGAGGAATGTGCTGGTTGAAGTTGTCAGAGGTCAGGACCACCGTAGGAACCTTGTTCCTCTGCAGGGTGTTCTTAAACAGCTGGTAACTCTGACTGTTCTCTGGTCCCATCACCAGGAGTCCTGTTTGTCTGAGAGGGGAGATCAGTGGAGATGAAGGTACATGGCTAAACATGGCAACAAAAAATCTGACAGATTGTAAATAAACCCAGAGGTTAGTCAACGTATTTGCAACATAAAACAAAGGTGAATTAACCAAAATATCCATTGTAAATATCTATCATAGTTTACAGACAACTCCTTTTACTTTATCTTCTGTACTTGCCATAGATATCAGCACTCACTGTCTTCTTGATTAATATTTTATTAATCAAAATATCTCTATACTTGTTATTGCCATGCAATTTTTTCCCTACAATTTGGTGATCCCCTTACTCCATCTCCTGCCATCATCAGGTCAAACTCCGCTAGCATGACTCTTAGTCTCTTTGTAACCTTGTTGTTTAGGTACGACAACTTGTTGGACCTGTCGGGGGATGGCAAAACAGAATTGTTCTGAGAAGCAATAACAAACAACCTATTTTTCTGTTTAGGTAGGCCGATGACGAGTTGTTGTAAGATGCCAATACTATAAAATCCTAGTTTATACTTTCTCATGCCAATGATATAGCACCAGTCATATCAATCGCTCAAAGATTTGTTCAGACATGCTTCCTCTCCAAGTACACCCCAGCAGGATTATTGAACTTCTCAACCCAGGAACTTGTAACCTGATGCCAGTAAACTGAACTCATGTGCATCAGCCCAGCTGCTCTGTGATGCTTTCACATCAAAAGACAGTCAAAGGGATGAGAGGGGAAATGATCTAAGTACATACAGTATATTAGGCCAGAGCACCCACTCAGTGTTTAAAAGACACAAACTGACCAAGTTTTTATAAATAGCTTCCTATCTATCCTTTAGTGCTGACCAGAACATCCAAATGTATAGTGATGAAGGACGTGACTTAAAACACTTCAGAACACAATATTACTGTGGATTGGCAATAACCTTTTGTGTGAACTTCCATTGCGAATTGCAGTTAAATGCAAGGTCTCGTGATCTATGGATAGCTGGGCCCCATTGACTCAGATTCTTGATTCAGGCTGTCTACAACATTCTAAGTATATCCAACTTGTTCTGCTGAATGAAGGTGGAGTAACCAGCTTGCCCCATGTGACTGAAGGGAGGCACACTAAAGCTCATCCTCAGCTGCTGTTTGAAAGCTCTCGGCAAGTGATGCCACTGCTGGTGCCTTAGCGGACTCCATCTATAATCAGATAAACCACTGTAAGCATTTACGCCCGGCAAAGAAGACCATTGCTTTTGCCAGAGCTGGCAAGAAGCCAAAACCAGCTGCCAGGACCACCTCTACTGGCCTGCTTGCAATGGCGCACAGATGGGAACTAAAGGTTGACTTGGGGAAGCAGCTTACGTTTGAAGGAACTTTGAAACAACAACATTGAAGCCCAACATGATCCAAGCTAGTGCTTAATGTTATAAAGAGTTCGGTCTAGACCTGCTCTATTTGAAAAGTGTCCTGAGATAACTTCTGTTATGAATTGGCGCTATACAAATAAAATTGAATTGAATTGAATTGAATTTAAACTAGAACTCGCTGTTCACTGGGAGGATTGCCTTGAGGAGGCCACAACGAGAGAATGAGTGCAAAATACACCAATCAGCCATAACATTCTGACCACCTGGACACCCTGGTGGTCATAATGTTATGCAGCTCATTCACACTGCCTACTTGAGCAGCACATTTGCGTGGCAGAACAGTTAGATCAAGCCCAGGCTTGGTTGCCTGGGCAAGGGCATCTGTTTGCTGAGAGACCAAAAATACCTGAGGACCCCAAGAACTACCGATGATGTGTCCAGACATTTGAGTCTGATACACTTAACACACAAAATATTTAACCATTTCTAAATTGAAAGTTTTGTCGCAGGGTGGGCTCTGATTGGCTACCCCGAATGCTGCACAACATAACAAAGAAGAAAAAATGAGATATGGTTTTATTAATTTTACATGCTAGTCATGTGCTTGATCGATTTTTTTTTTTTTAATTTTAATATTATCAGTAAGAGTCTGCTGTAAGTGGTAATACAGACTGAATCCATCCAACCTGGTCTGAACATTACCTTTACTCAGAACCAAAACCTCTGCTTCTCTTTAAAACTCCTTTCAGTCAAGTCTAATTGCTATAAACAGCCTTTCACTTACCCAGACATAGCATTTAAAAAAAAAAGAAAAAGGAGGCACAGAACTGTTCAACCCTTTGAAGATGCCCGTGAAGATATTGAAGTAATGATGTAAGTGCTTCGGCAAGAGTTACTATATGGCTTGCTAGTGGTGCTTATGATGGCAATGTTTGCCAGTGAGTTGGTCTGTCTGTAAAACAGGTCTAAGGATATTTATTTTAAAAAGATAAAATTTTAATTCAATGTAATTTTTGGGCTTTTGTCCATAATTTCTCTCAGTTGTTATAACAACTGATAATACTGTTATCACTATGTACTAACGATAACAGATTCTAAGGATAATAATTACGCCATTAGTCTCAGTTTTCTCTTCCAAATTAGTTTGGCTAACCTGCCATTATTACATTATATTTTTGGTTTCTTTTATTAAGAAATAAAAGAAACAACAGAAACAAACAGTAACAACCAGAATGATATAAATGTATTAACAAATGCATACAATAACACCAGACAAAAACAATGACCAAACACAATTTTGTATTTTTTACAACATAACACTAGAAGATTATTAGGAATATATGTCTACTTCCTTTCTGAATACAAATAAATTGCATTATTATGTGGAAAGATAAAAAAACATATTCTGTATTATAATCTCTATTTGTCAGAAGTCAATGTGTTAAATTCATCATTCATCAACTTTCCTTATTAGAGTTAACTTGATGAGTATTGGTAGGAATGATGGGCAAAACTTGAAACAAAGACCCCAGTTATAATAATTTTATATTGTGCGCCTATGTAAAGGTAAACATACGTAAAGCACCTTCTTCTGACCACTCCTTTTACACCCATTCACACAGTGAATCGAACAGAAACTGACACATTCATACACATTCACAATTTGGGGTTCAGTATCTTGCTCAATGATACTTTGACATGCAGCGGGTATCGAACCAACAACCTTCCGATTAGTGGACAAACCCCTCTACCTCTGAGCCACTGTAACAATTTATGCCAAGAAAATGATAAAAAAAATCACTTTCTTTGTATTTTTGTGTACAGATTTTCTTGTAAAACAATGTTACCTGTAAGCTTAAACCAACCTATTTTAACAATAATATCATGCCATCCAACTATCGATCAATCTTTTACTTTAGTAACACAATATGACACTGACAAGTTTTATCAGCACAGAGCATGGGCTCATTGATTGCTGTACAAAATCACAACTTTACCAAGTTAATGAATGGATTGACTGAAAGCAATTTATTAATTTCTACTGCCAATTTTAGATATTTCTATTCAATTCAATTCTATTCATGTGCCACAATAATGTGATGTTTTTGACACGACATTGACATTGACTGGACATCATATGAGCAGTTGGCAGTAATACAGCAGATCACAGCAGCTCCAGTGTGACGTTATTGAGTCCCAGAGTGAGAGGTTGTGAAACACAGGGTTTAATTCAGTAATCTGTCTGATAGATGGCTGACTCGCCCTTTGCCAGCAGTGTTTTCTAAAGGCTGCTCCGACATCTGTCAGCAGCCGTAAGGCACAGACAACCCCAGCTAAAGGCTCCAGCCATTCATCAGAACATTTTATGACTATGTCTCCCTGTGTGCTTCTGTGTTTACGAGTGTGTGACGGAGGAAGGAAAAGCCACGCGAGTGTATGTAGGATCATAAATATGATACCTCATCTAGTCCAACCTGTCAGACTGGGTGATTGGTGGCACTAGGTCAGCTGGTGGATGTACACACATGTTGTCGTGTGTGGAGAAAATAAAAAGGCTGGTGGTAGATTTTTAGCTTTGACTCGGCCCCTTTTTCGATGGCTCCAACCAGCCCAGAGGCGGCGGCAGTAGAAGCGGGAGGCATTGCTCACACCAGCCTCGCCTGAACATTTCTCATCGTGGTGCAGACGTTTTTTTGCCAGCCGAAGGGCACAGGTGGCCTTCAGATGTGGACCCATCAGTCATGAGCTATGGACTGGCGCACAGGGGATGGGGAGGAACACTGTTTCTAGGGAACATAACGTGGGCGTGGCTTGGTATCATGAACTATTACCCTGAGACATGAATAATGAAGCAATGTGTTATTCAGCTCTCTGGTACTGAGGACAAACACAACTGCGGTCAGAAGTAATATGACCAGGAAAGTTAAAGTGCTGGAAGGTTGCACACAGTTTGATGCCACTGTCATATTTATATACACACAAATTCCTCCCCGCTCTGCGTATGAAAATCAGAGTTTTATCGAGATGAAAAAAGCCCCTGTTCCACATTCAAAGGCATGGGAGGTGTCAGCGGGTGATTTAGTGACGCCGGAGGTAATGAGAAAGTCATGCATTTATGGCTCCCGTAGATTGAGTTGCTGCTCTTGTGCGTACATAGCACCTTGAATGTGACAAATCTCTGTGTTCTGGCAAAGCCTTTGTTATGTTCCGTTTAATGGGTTTTCTCTCTCTGTGTTTCTGCTGACTGCTTACCTGTACAGTTTGACACCCGCCTCCCTCTCCAGCTGAGCCCACAGCTCGTAGCACTCCTCCATCATGTGGGTGTAGAAGTCCTGCTCGTAGGCCTTGCGAATGATGCGGGTCTGGCCATGGGAGCTCCCCCGGGAGTGGGGCAGGACAAACTGGAAAAGATGAACAGAAATATATTTCTTGGTTCAAATGAAATAACTTTGATTTGGGAAAAAACATACAGCCAAATGTATTCAATTCAATTCAATTTTATTTGTATAGCGCCAATTCATAACAGAAGTTATCTCAGGACACTTTTCAAATAGAGCAGGTCTAGACCGAAATCCTTATAACATTATTTACAGAGACCCAACAGTTCCCACCATGCCTGGTATGTGGACATCCAAACATTTTACCCGTATGTGATAGTTGAACACGTAATTAGAGATTCATTGATCTACTTTTTTCCAGTTCTGCAGGGTTGCAAGGCATTTTCCATTTCAAAATTCCATACTTTTCCAGACATCTCAGAAGATCATATTTCAGACCATATTTGACATCTGAGTACAAATAGCTGGATATTTATTACGTAAATAAATGTTTTTTAAATCCAACAAGGTTTTAAAAGGAACATATATGTACATTCTGACTATGTATGCCAAATAATTGCCAGAAGACTGTAGTGAAGTACTGGAATCCTTAGCCAACCAGGCTTTACACTTGGGATAAAAAGATTTCCCCATAACATATTGAATAAATATTACATTATTAATGCCCCCACATATTTTAGTCATTTCAGTTATGACCTTGTCGAAATGAGGATGAACGCAGCCATAAAAGATTCCTTACACAGAAAAGATAGTCTGTTTACTTTTCTCATACAACATCACTGAATAACTCACTAAAATGTTTAGACAAGCTTGCTATTATTTGGAATGGTAATAATTTCTCACTAATAATTGATGCTAACTAATTTGGTCGTGGTCCTGTTTGCAACATCTACAAGTGTGATGTAGAAACTTCAAGCCACCAGTGTACATACACTGAGAATTAAAGTATTTTTAACAAGGTAGAAGGACTTTTTAAGGATTTAAATGTTTGTTTGTTTTTTTAATGGAAGTTAAATAAGTCATGTTACATTAAGGCGGGTTCATGGTCCAGCACAACCTCCACCTGTAGGTCTACGGGGACTCCTGGATAGCTTTATATTACTCCTTAATTACAAATTAATGAATTTGTGCTACAACACTGGACAAACAGGACCTGGAAAGATACAAGTTTTTTGATCTGTCTCCAGATCTGCAAATCATGTCATATCATATAATATAGAAATAAAAATAGATTTTGTCAAAGACCCAGTCTGTAATCTTCTGCAAATTGTCTCTATCTTTGACAAATACATAGGTATCACCACATTAGATAGTACCATAGTTTTGTTAGTTTATACCAGTGCAACATTTTGGCTATGGGATTAAAATTACATGATTATATATTTATAATTCGTAAAACCATCAGACGATGAATCTGGATCGGTACGTGTATCACTGATGTCAGTCCAATATCTGATGAGCGACTTTAGGCAGTATCGGCACCTGTTACAGATACTGGACTGGATCGGTCCTAATGTGAGCATCATAAAGCAGTCTGTTTAAAGCCGTCTTACAGCTTATTGGTGATCTATTTAGTCCCAGATACTTTTTGGCTGCCATCTGATCTTTGTATTTTTAATCATTGAACAGTATATATTAGTAGGACAAAGAAATTAGTTTCTGCAGCTTCACAGACTTCAGACTAGAAGTGACAGAAATAAACTTGTTTTGCTGTACGTGAAGACAAAGCCAATAACAAATTAAATGCATCAATAGGTATTCATTTTAAATAAATATGGCATTTATATACATAAGAGGATTTCATGCTTCAGAGATGCAAGCCGCTCTGGCAAAAAAGACCCAATGTGTAAAGAAGAAGAAAAGAGCTGTGAGTGATATTGAATGCTCACATGTTCTACGGACATTACACTGGCACACTGGTGGATCTCTGGCAGCCAGAAAGCGACGCAGCTGCATCCGATGGACATGGGGTTAGAGGTTAGTGGGGTCGGCTGGGGATGTTTTGGGGTGAAAAGGCCTGCCTCACATTTGGCATTCCACATTATCCCAAGGGTGTAGGATGGGGATTGAGGTCAGGACTCTGTGCATCAACTTCTTCCACACCAACCCTTCTTCATGGAGCTGGCTTTGTGCACAGGGGCACTGACATACTGAACCAGGAAATGACCAGACAAAGTAAAATATCGCTAAAAATCATTTATGCTTCATGGGAGCTAATGGGGTCCAGCCCAAGCCAGAAAAAAACAGACCCAGACCAAAAGTATACAAAGGTGGATAAGAGTGTATACTTTGGACCATATAGTGTGTCATTGGAAAAAAAAACAATAATAAGACAATTAGACAAAAAAAAAGACAAAGACCAGCAGAAGCAGAAAGGTGGGACTTGCACTTAAGCTCAACAGCACCAGTAGCCCATCAGCTAACATCACAGAGACAACCACACATTCAGGACAGACAGCCTGAAGGCAGATAAATGGCACTTTGCAGCATCTGATCAAATGTTACTCCATTATTTTAACTGTGCGACTTGTGGGGACCAGTGCTAGCAAATGAGTGGTTAGGTCAACCTGGGGATCCCCAAAGCTTCCTGGGGGGTTGCAAGGCCTCCTTGAAACAAGTCTCACAGGATAAGGGCACAGTGAAGACCTGGGGCCTCATTTATAAACTGATTTAGGATTAATTTTGAGCTTAAATATTACTTGTGCAGAAAACCATGTACAAGTAGTTCTTTATAAAACTTTACTTTGACACGCAGGTGGATACATTTTGACATACATCTCCATCCGAGCGAAGTCTAGCCTTCACTCTGCTAAACAGCCTAGTCCTGCATTAGAAAAGTATGCAGTTAAACAAAATAGCTAATAAAGTCAAGAAAAACACAATCTGTAAAAATGATGATGTATAATTGTAAAAAAGAACATTTTTAAATAAAGAATTGTATCAAAGGTTCTTAAAATTATCGGTAAAACTCATCTCTGATCAATATTCACAGAAAATAATCTGCTCAAAATTCATCCTAATAGCTTGTTTCACACAAACTTCCTGCAGTTATTGTGTTCACTGTTTGTTTTCATTGTACAGTTTATCAGTTGTTCTCTACTGTTATTGTTATTATTGAATATATTGTGAAATATCCATAAAATATGTCACTGAGTCAGTTTACCCAATTGATACAGAGGGGTCTGATTGGGGGTTAGGTGAAGTTATATACATATATACTATTTTACAACATACGCAACAAGGTCAGGGAAATAAGGAAGGAAGCCGCTGATTGGTTCTTGCTGCTGCCACTGTTGTGTATTTACCCAACCACAGAGTCTCACTTCAACACATTATAAAATACACATCATAAAAAGCTCGTAAAAAAACAATGTATATTGTCTGTATGCTGAGCTGTTGCCAGACCTGTCTTGTCAAGATTTCCCATATGCGAACAAATTTTATTATATCCATTCAAATATGGAGAGAAATTAGACTCAAAGTGGTCACAAATGAGGCCTTTTGTTTTCTCGTGAACAAGATAAATTAAACCGTTATCACAAGAAAACAAACTTTGTTATACCGGGATAATGAAATAAACAACTTGTGATCTCCAGAATGGCATTAAAAATGTATTGAGGGCTTATTAGTGATGGGTTTCAAATAGCCATGGTAGTAAAGGGGCTACCTGATTCATACAAGCCATTCGTCGAGCACATCACCCAGACAAATGACATTGTAACGCTCGGTGAGTTTAAAACAAAACTGTGAAGTTATGAGAGTACTGAAAAATATAGGAAGAGTGACGTGAATGTAGAAGAAGACAACGTGATGAAGACTAGCGGGGCAACGTGGTCTCGTGGAAGAGGGAGAGCTCTACCCTATTACCCCACTAGAACACTACGTTCTCTGAATGCTGGGCTACTTGTGGTTCCTATAGTCTCTAAAAGTAGAACAGGAGCCAGAGCCTTCAGTTACCAAGCTCCTCTCTTGTGGAACCAGCTTCCAGTTGTGGTTCGGGAGGCAGACACCCTCTCCACATTCAAGAGTAGGCTTAAGACGTTCCTCTTTTTATAGCTTATAGTTAGGGTTGGCTCGGGGGGAGTGTGTGTGGAAGTATGTAGGAAGAACGATTGGATAGGGTGTGTGCGTGTATCTGAGAACAGCAGGAGTATGAATGAAGGGGAAAAAATGTAAAAAGACAACCTCCCAAAGATCATGAGTAATACCGTATGTTGCAATGTTAGACCTAAATGTACAAATGATCTGGTAATTTGCTTTGTGGGTTTGTGTTGTAAAAATAAAAATACCCCCCCAAAAAAAAAAAACTTAAAAAAACAGATATGTTGCAAAGGGGTATGGTCAAGTGGAAGGGATTGACTATAAAGAGACCTTTACACCGACAGCCAACATGACCTCTGTCCGAGCACTGATGCAGGTGGCTGTACAAGAGGATCTTACCCTACACCAAATGGATGTAAAGACTACTTACCTCTATGCTATGGACTGTGAGGTATATATGGAGCAACCGGAAGGTTTTGAGATCAAGTCACAAACAGGAGAACACTTAGTGTGTAAACTCAACAAGTCATTGTATGGTTTATAACAGTCCGGGCGTAACTGGAACATGTTACTGCATGATCACCTTACAGAGAATGGTTTTGTACAAAATGATGCTGATCATTGTGTCTACAGCAGAGAATCTGACAAAGAAAAAGTGATTCTGTTAGTATGGGTAGATGACTTAATCATAGCGGCGAGTAACAACACCTTACTCAGTGATGCAAAAGAAATGTTGGAGAGAAGGTTTAAGTTGAAGGATATGGGTCCACTTAAACACTTCCTGGGCATCGACTTTAGACGAGGGAGAGGTCAAAATGACTCAAAAGAGACACATAGAGAAGATGTTAGCGAAATTTGGAATGTCCGAATGCAAACCAAGATCCACCCCATGTAAGCAAAAGTTAAACTTTGACGGTGAGGGTGAAGTTATTGACTCAACAGGATATAGAGAGATAGCAGGTAGCTTAATATACATTATGACATGTACCAGACCTGACCTGAGCTGGGTTGTTAGTAAACTA